TAGGTGTCTTCTACTCAAATCCTTAATCTTATGTCGATCTGTGGTGTCGTTTTAGAGGTAGAAGTTTTTTCTATGTTGCTATTGACTTTTTTAAGGGACGGGAGGGGGGGGGGTATTTCATAAGCATTTCTTAAAATGAGAGTTGTTAGTACCTCCACATACTTAAGCTTGATTTGAGGTTACTCTAGACATTTGCAGTCTGAATAAAATGTCCCAAAATCATTTCAAATACTTTTTTATAAAAGATATTTATGGGATAGTACGATACTCAATTTATGCAGTTTTTCTCTCTTAATTGGAAGTCGTCGTTTTTGTTTCCAATGGGACAGACATATTTCAAAACTACAAGTATGATGCTATAAGGTAATACTAAGAAAAATTCCATTAAGAAAAGTTTAAAATTTTGATTTATTTGATCACTTCCTGTGACAACCGGAAGTGACGGCGGACGATCTTAAACTCAAAAGATGTGTCTACTCATCAAGGTCTACCATCCCTATTAATTTGGTGTCTTAATCTCTTACCGTTAACGAGATCTAGCAATGATAACTTCTGATTTTGAGGACAGGACCTCACGCGACCGGAAGTGAATTTTACTGACACATCAGACATTCCTGTAGACATTTGCAGTCTGAATTACATATCCAAAAATCATCACAAATACTTCAACTATAAGAAATATTTATGGGAAAGAAAAATACTCAAAATATGTAGTTTTTCTCTTTTAACCGGAAGTCGACATTTTTTGTTTCCTTGGGACTGATACATTTCGAAACTACAAATAAGATGCTATAATATGATGCAAAAAAGTATCATGAAAGAAAAGTTGAAATTTTCGATTTCTTTGATAACTTCCTGTGACGACCGGAAGTTACGGCGGACAATCTTACCCAAAATGGTTTTGCCTACTAATCAAGATCTACCACTTCTACTTAATCTTTTTCCGTTTACGAGATCTAGCTATGATAACTTCTCAAATTCGAGGACAGGAAATCACGCGACCGGAAGTGAATCTTTTAAAGATATTTGACGTTACTGTAGACATTTTCAATCTGTATAACATATCCGAAAATCATTACAAATACTTTATCTATTAAAATTATTTATGGGAAAGAAAAATACTCAAAATATGTAGTTTTTCTCTTATAACCGGAAGTTGTCGTTTTTGTTTCCAATGGTACAGACATATTTTGCAACTACGAATAAGATGCTATTATGTTATGTAAAAAGAGTTTCTTAAAAAAAGTTGAAATTTTCGATTTTTTTATCATTTCCTGTGATGACCGGAAGTGACAGCGGATGATCTTAACCCGATTGGCTTTGCCTACTTATCATGATCTATTACTCATATAAGTTTTGTGTCTAAATCTCTTACCGTTTCTGAGATATGACTCGGACAAAACTTTTTTGTCGGAAGTGAATTTTGAAAAACTAAAAACTGCACTTGAAAGATATTTTAACTCATTATCATCCCTGAAAATTTCATGAGAATCTGTCCAGTCATCTCTGAGAAATCGTCAAAAAAGAAAAGGGAAAATAATAATAATAATAAAAAGAAACAGTAGAATCACTTTAAGGTCTTCCGTCTGAAACGGAAAACCTTAACTAGATACGATCTCGTTGCGAGCAACGAGAGGTATCCCGTCCGATTTAGGAAAAAAACCCTCGTAAAACGGAGCTGAAAAGGGATTCAAAATTTTGGTCACAAGGAGGATTGAACCCAGGTCGCGAACGTGAATGAGTTTTTTCTCTTTTATCCCCAACGTGCAAACCATTAAGCTATTGGGAATACTGCTCTAAATATACTGGTGTATACTTTTGCAACAGTACGCTTGTCTAAGAATTATAAAAGGCGGGCAACTATTCAAAATTTCGCGCCAAACGCCACGAGTAAATATTTGCGCCTTTTCTTTGGACTGATCTATTAAATAGGTGTGATAACTTCAATGAAATTAAATAAATAAAACGTTTTTATTGCTTCTATTTTATTTCGACGTTAAGAAAGTATATTTAACACATTGTACACATTACATATCGTATCTAGCCCAGTTACACTTAAGCAGTGAAACGGATATTAAGTTTTAAGATTGACACATATTTGCAACGTACTACTACGTGAAAGTCCAAGTAGTTTTTTTTTTTTACATTTCATGTATCTTTATGTCAGAATGGTGTAATAAAACGCTCAGCTGCCTCCATAAACCCCTACTCGCGAAATGGCGGAGTTGACAGAGACAGCCGCCATTTTAGGCTCGCTTAAGATTTTCAAATATTAATATCTAGAATTCAGATTAACCAATATTGAAACAACTTATATAGTAAGCCTTAATAGAAAAGTCTCTATTACTATTCCAAAAATTAGATAAAAAATATTGGAAAACAAAAAAGTAAGAAAACATGCTTTTTTCAATTCGCATCTCCTAACGACAGGAAGTATTGACGACGAATGAGAGGTAGCGTCCTGGATAGTATCTATCACGATCTATAATACCTGTAAGTTTCACATTGATATCTTTTACCGTTCTTGAGATTAACCACGGACAAAATGTCAATTTAAAATCTGGAAATGTCCCGTAACTTGGCACCAGATTGGAATTTTCAAAAAATCGCTCAGATCGATCATATTCATTTTATGACAAATCCTTTCTGAAAATTTCATGTAATTCCATCCAGTAGTCTTCGAGAAATCGCGTGCACAAAATTTTGGAAAAAAATAATAAAAAGAATAATAATAATAAGAAGAAACAGTAGAATAACTATAAAGTCTTCCGTGAAGACGGATGACCTTAATAATAATAATAAGAAGAAGAAACAGTAGAATCACTATAAGGTCTTCCGTCTGAAACGGAAGACTTTAATAAATGTAAAAAGGGAACGAAGAATAATAGAGGGGTCTTCTGCTGAAAACGGAAGACCCTAATAAATGTGAAAAAGAAACAATAGAATAAAAGAACGGTCTTCCGTTTTTACAGTGGAGACGAAAGACCCTAATAAAAGTGAAAAAGAAACAATAGAATAATAGAATTTCCCTCATATCCATTCCACAACTGATATTAACTTATAATATATACTTTAAATATGACAGTATACATGTATTTGTTACCCTTCTTTTTTTCCTTTTAAGAAATTCCAATACTTACCATGCCAAAGGAAGTAAAAGTTCCTTTTGGGTCAGTCGCTCTTTTACAACCCATCAAACAGGCATGCCCAGACATTGAGGCCGTGGAATGGCAAAAGAGAAGATGTACGGATCCCAACTCAGAGGAATTTAAAATCATTGATATAACTAGCCCCAAATATTCAGGGAGCACACTGGATCCAAAACAACCGAAGTTGATTATAAATGAAACTACATTTGAAGATGGCATTTTTTATCAACTTGTAGTAAAAAACAGGATTGGAAAATCCAGCAGCAAGATATTTCTTAACGTTATGGGCTGTAAGTTTTTATAACCTCGCCTTTTACTGAAACACATTTCTATATCGGTGCTGAAATTTTAAATTTATATGATAAAGCAAAAAGAAATATGTAAGTTCGTTTAAATGGTTTGTACGTTCCATAAAACTGATTTATGGAAGTCGAATGGAGTTTTATTGTGTAATAACTCTTTAATTATTTAATTTTAAAATTCATGTATTGTCCATATCAATCCTAGGTATATATACCTACTAGATATTTGTTTTCTAACATTTTGAAAACTTCTTTTTTTAAAAACTTAAGTTATCATTATGTCACTTACACAATATCATGACATCAATCTTTCTATTGGGTAAACAATCATTTTAGAAATCATATATCCATCAAAAATTTATAAAATTGTTATAAGATTTTTTACCTACGATTTCGTAGTTTTGATAATTTTATTTATTACTTGAAAACCTTTGCTTTAAAAGAGCAAAAATGCTCCAATTTACTATTATGTGCAAAGTGTGGAAACCCCAGTTGTCCCTTTTATTTAATACACGTATCTTTTCTTGACTTAAACATTGTGTTCTGACAGAGAATTAATGATATTCCTTCCTTTATACAGCTCCTCCTAATGTCTTCCTGATGCACAGTACTGATTTTCAACAAAAAAGCGTAACCTTAATTTGTCAGGTTCACTGTGACAGTTCTCATCAGCTTACAGGAGTAGTGTGGTCAAAAGACGACAGTACTATAGATGTTTTGAGAAGTGAAGGCAAATATGTAGGAGGGAATATTGAAAAACTGTCACTGAAAATAACCAATGTAGATGCTTCTGACGCTGGCATATATCAATGTTGTGCCTCCAATATATTTGGATCGACAATCAGCGAACCAATTTCTTTAGGTACTTAAAATTATTAAACACTTTCAAATTTTGACACATCTTTGAAGTGATGTACATTTTGTGTTGCCGTCTTTTCGTTTGCGTATCCGTGCGTCTGTAAACTTTAAACTTTCCCGAATTCAACCCCTGGACTTTTTTCAACCAAACTTGCTACAAATTAGCCTTGTGTAAAGGATATTCAAATTTAATCAAATTAAAGTTTTTAAAAAACCTTGTCCAGAAATAGTAAACGATTAGTGGAATGTTTCTTAATTGCCTCAAGAACCAATTGATAAAACAAGTTAAATCCAAAAGGAACCATCTTTACATTGTATAGATATTAGATGGTTGAAATGATGACCACTTGGATAGGATGTTGTCACAATGAGGGATGAAAGTTTTACATACTGGTATATATTGAAAAAAAAAATATTTAAAAATCTTTTAATCAGGAACAGCTAAACCATGATTTATCATTTTGATATGAAGGTATCCAAAAGTAGTGTGTGTGGATTCAAGTTAATTCAAATGATGGCCCCTAAATGAAGGTCGGGGCTGCTATGGATCTGATACTTTACTCAAAAGAAATATCTATTTTATTACTGTCTTTTCTAATACTTTCATAAAAACACTCGAAAACAAGATTCATCTGAATTTCATAATTATTTTCTTTAAAATTTTCCAGCTGTGCCAAATGTTGAACTCTTAATGAAGGAAAAGAATATAGAAACTGGGACTCTTAAGCTGCAAGCATCCATTAAATCAATTCCAGATGCTTTTAAAGTAGAGTGGAGGGTACAGATGACCCCGGATGATGAATTTCGACCAATAAATTTACACGAAGAAACCTATAAGGGAAGCACAAGTACTCTTCCAAATCCGATATTGGTTGTCAATAAATTTAACTCAAAGAATTTGGAAACATATAGAGTAGAGGTTACCAATTTTCTTGGTGTCAAAGTTGTTTCGAATCAAAGTAAGTTCAAGGTGTGCTAAAATGGAAACTCTTCCACAATATTAAAGACATTTTTGGTTTAGGGACAATTTAAAACATGGTTGGAAATAAATGTATGATTTTCTCAATATCGTTAAATCAATATCTTTAACAGTTTTCATGAAAAAAAGGGGATAAGCTTCTATTTTCTATAGATTTTATACAAGTTATTTACGCTATTTTGTCTAAAACACTGACTGTTTCTAATTTTCTAAAAGTAGTATTTTTTCTTAAATTAAAAGAAATCCATGATGTTCTTTTCAGAGGTTCTCGAAGAAAAACAATCTATAAAAGAAAATTCACATGTCTGTTTGAATGGTACGTGAAATGAATTGAATATACGTAAAGTTTGTATATGTAGTTTAATGGGATTTTTTTCAGTAGTGGAATATTCTTTGTGATGTAGGCAACACAGATAAAACATAAACTGTTTTAAATAACAAACGAAATTTAAATATTGATGAATGTACTGAACTTGTGATATAGGAGGGGGTATAAAATGTTCGTAGACTGGCGCAATAAAATTAAAATCGCTTAAGGTACATCGATGAATTTTAAAATATCTGGTTAACATCGTCTTTTCTCTCTATAGAATAAACCGCAAATTGTAAATTTTATTTTTTGATAAATTAGTAATATTTTTGTAAGCTATGGTATGGTAAGCTATGGTATGTACAGGCGGTGCAACCTCCAATACGACGAAGTGTAATTGAGAAAAACTATTTTGATATGAACACTTGACATCCAAAAATTCCGTTAATTCAGGTATATGTTGGGGTGCCATTGCTTCATAAAATATGAAATTTTCATTTCATTCGGAAAGTTCAATGAAATTTATCTTAAATTTGACTTTTTTTAGTTTTGAGTTTCCAAACAAATAAGTCTTAAACAATGACGTCAAAAGGGAAGAGGAATTTCATTTTCCAACATTCTATAAAGTTTTGCACTAAAAAAAATTGACGTTGATCAAATGTTGCAGATATTAAGGTATATTGATACTCTGATGAGAGGAATAACTCTTAATGTCATAAATGTATATTATTCGTTTATAAATTTGCGAAGCTGAAGTGTCTTTTTTGTCCAATTTTGCCCCGCAAGCTATGTTATAATTTTTTTGTATTTTACTTATATAATACATTCCTTTTGGAAAATCATCAAGGTTCAAGCAACGTAAGTGAGCAGAGGGTTTATTAACCTTAAACTGCCAAAAGCAAAATATGCTGGCACAATCGAGCGAAGATCTCTTCCAATGTATAAATCCAATTGCAATATTATATGCATTAAAAGCCGCCGTTCATGACATTTTAAAGTCAAATAAACAAGACGGGTTGAACTCCTTACTCAACTCCAGGGAATCTCATCAAATTAAGTGTACGAGGTAGATGAAGTGGACATTGAAAAACAATGAAGTTGTTGGACGTCATGAAACTAAACGGCGACAGCCCCGGGAAATCATATAATGTCATTTTTTATTTTATCATAATTTAGCAAATAATGGACGAATCAAGCTAAAATTTTCAACCTTTCTTTATTTTTTGATGTTTTATGTCCCTCATAAATTTTGAAAGTACTGACTACATAGTACTAATTTTATAGCCTCAGTTCACGAACTTTTTGATAACCCCCCGTATATACATGTACAAGTGGAAAGCATGATTATATTTCCTCTCGTTTTAGATCCTTTGAGGAGGTTTTACAAAAAGAGTGGATCAAGTGTACCTTTTTTCAACCTGAGTAAAAGCGTTGTTAATGCCTTCTCTGATAAAGTGGCGAACCTAAAACAGATATTGCTCGGTATGTACAAAATTTATTACATTTAGCTGCAGAAATGTAGCTTTCTGCTTGAGAAATTTTGACATATAAAGCGATTTTTTTGTCGCTCTCTTCAAGTATTATTCCAAGTAGTTTTTGTTTTTTACCCTTTTAGAATAGCATCTGTTAATTAACAATATATTTTACTCTAATCATTTATACTTCATTTACCTTTCCGAAACAGTCCTCTATGACAATCAATTAACAATCGATTAATTAATCATATATTGGTAGAAGTTTGATCTACCTTTTAAAATTTTTAACCCTGGCCTTAACTTCAGAACAGTATGGGTTTGGGCGTCAATACTTTTGCATATGTATTTTTTGTGGTAAGACCTTTTATTGGATATCAAACATTAAACTTGAAGATTTCCATTCCTATGAAAAACTATCATGACCTACTTTCATATTTCACAAGTGCATTTCCAGTGAGTAAGTAGATACCCTGCTTTTGGTACTAATTTATAAAATTTCATTTACGAAAAGTTAAATCTTAGCTATGTTGCCATACGAGGGCATCAGTGTTTCACAAACATATCTTATTCTTGTAGGTTTAGGCGACATTGAAGCAAACTCAATAAAAGCAGCGAAATCATCTGAGGAATGTATTGAACTTATCAAGGAGAACAACCTTTTTAACCCTAGAGATGTGATTTACATGCAATACTTACTAAAGGAGGCAGGATGCAATGAAGTTTACGAAAAATGCATTGAATATGCAATAAAGGCAAAAGCTATGTGCTTTTATGAAAACCCGCAAGGTAACCTAAATTGTAATCGCATTTAAAACTTTGATCACCATAGAAGATTAACAGTTTCTTTATATTCTAGAAATTCATTATTTGCATCTTTTTCAATGAAATTAGACAAAAAAATATATACCAATCCAGGCATCCATTTTTTCTTTGTATCATCTGTCCTTAATCACGTTTATCGCTTTATTTCAATTCATATTTTTTAGAAAATGGATTCATACAAGTAAAATTTCACATATGTGTAAACCTTCAGGAGTACAATGAACAAGAAATTGCGTGCATAAAAAAGACAGTCGAAGATATTTTGGAATGCAGGGAAGATGAAATTAAGATTGCAGGACTTTGTAATGCCAAAGGTTTTATTCTAATTCTTTCAATAAAGGAAAAGTACGCCAAGGACCTTACTTCATTAAATCAGCATCAATGTGAAAAACTCAAGAAACTGAATGTGGATTATATCATTGTTGGTGAAAGAAAAATAGATATGGAAAGCCAAAAATCAAGTGAGTATAGAAGTTTTCAACATGAATTCCAAAACATAATGACAATGCACATTTGTTTTTGTTTCTTAGTCCTGACATTGTGATTTCATAAAAGAAATTGAAGCTGTATTTGAACAATAGAATTAGGCAGACAAAAAAAAAACTTATCCTGCTTATGATAAAAATAGTTAAATTTCATTGGTCGAGAGCAATACTGCATGAAACGATGTTATACTGTCTACCCACCTAACATTGCTAATGTGCCCCCACCACTGTATTTACCAACTACACATCATCAATAATCTTCTTTCACGTGGAGCTTCATGATTAACGTCACGTTTAGTCATACGACAACAATGGATGCGGAACAACTTGCTTGGACCTTCAGTGATAACGTTATATCGATACTTTTTGTCCATGAGCCAGGGCATGGATTTTTGCAGTATCGGTACCATCTTGTTTGAATAATTTTTTTAGTCATTTGTTAAAGGACATACATCTCTACCTTCATAAAATGTATGATAGCATTCAGTTGATTGTGGCTTTAATGGTGTATCAACCGTTTATATAAACCTACCAAAATTGTTTGCTCTCTCAGATTTGTCTATGAAAAGAGAAGGTGGGATTTTTTTTTTCTGCAACTGCTTCTTCCGTTAATTTTATTGTTTAAATTTCTTATGTCTGATATGTCCTAGAAAGTTCTTTAAGATACAATCCATGCTATCACCCTGTTAAATAATAATTCAATATTGTCTCTGTAATGAGCCCTCTAAATTATATATGAATATAATTCTATAATTTTACTAAACATGAAAATTGAATCTTTTCGTGCAACAATTTTAATTTTATGACTCGCAATGTGCTTCAAGGTTCTTTAAAGTTCTCAAAAAGATCTTTAAAAAACTGAAATTTTTATCACATAACAGTGTTTATGTAAAATTACATATTGAAAAAAATTGAGTACATGCATATTTTTTATTCTTATCCTAAATACCAATATTTATTCTTATGCTATGAAATTAGAAGTGAATTGTGGTGTTTTGCAATGACAGGCAAAGTCTTTCTACATTATACATTGTAAAATGATTGAAGTAAATAGAAAAAAAGTACAGACCTCATATCCTTATATCTATTAAAACAAGCAATTCTTCAAAAGCCTGGATACATATGACTTTTTATTCAAAAAAGTGTTTGTTGATCAATAGTGAATTGGAAAATTTATAGTAGGTGTTTCAAGTGACGCACTTCTTTGAGATTTACTAAATTTCCATATGTAATAATTAGCTATCAAGATAATTTTTAAAGAATTCTTGTGGATAAAAACGAATTTCTTTGAGAATTCAGAGACATTTTTGTTATCATTTTCAACTACTCCATGCCTGATTTTCAGAGCCTGAGGATCGGATTACCTTAAAACATTATTTAAGTCATAAATATATATCACTTTATCTCATAGTAAATCTTTATCCCTAACCAAAATTGAAGATTATAAAATAAATTCCTTTGATTTACTCTGTGTATATTGTTTACTTAACACAGATATTACACTATAATGGTATTATAATTAAATAAATTTAGGTTTTATGAAAAAGGTAGTGGAAACAGACCCAGCATGCAATATGCATTAAGGCGAAGACCATAAGGTCAAAGAATAAGGTTTTTTTTTAACTGATAATCTCTGTATCATACTTGGTCTCCTTTGTGCGTCACTTGAAAGAAATTGGAACCTTCATCTGTACGCTGTACTGTACGTAAACTTATCCCCTGGCAATCGATAAACTGAATTTTGCGCGATATCTGTCCCCATATTTTGTTCGGATGACAAATCAAAGGGAAAGTCATTTTTGAGTGTATGGCATGTGGTCATTTTCTGATATTATGGACAAATTCCTGTGGATCAGACCAATGAGATCACCATAAATAAGGACAAACAGACACCTGGTAGAACAGCTCGATTCAGTTTAAAAGCTGCAGCTATTAAACGTTACTATGTAACTGCAGAGTATCGAAGTTCCTTTCAAGGACTTCCAAGGCACATCGTTGAAGATATGGTTGGCACATATGTAGTTCATACAGAATAGCAATGTCCAATAATTCAGAGGGACGAACTGGCTGTGCCAGCAATTGTCGATTTGATAAAGGAATGGATCAACTCTTTTGCAGAGAAGCAGGACCTTGTAAGCATATCAACTGAAGGTGAAAGGTGATCAAATCCGATTTGAAGATTTTGCAAACACGATGTTTTTAATGGTACTAAGGGCTGGGGTGAATAGTGACAGGAAAGATGTTGTTTTTGACACGTACCTAAAGAACTCAATCAAGACAGTGAGAGATCAGTTCGAAGAGGAAAAGATGGCCATCAACTTCAGAATATTACTTGCACTCAAATCGTCAGGCAGTAGAAGAGTTTCTTGAGCACCATTAACAATAAAAATAGAATCATAAAGGTTTTGGTGAACGAATGGATGAAGACGGAATTTAAAGAAATTTAGGTGCATGTAAAGGTTCTCTAGGCAAAACATGATGGAAAAATGATAATGATTAACATCTCAAGACTCAAGACCACGACGTATTAGCAGATCTCCAGAGCCTGCAAGAAGAGGCAGATGGGCGCCTAGTTCTTCAGGCAGCTCATGCAGCAAGGCAGGGCTATAGTGCCACATAGATCTGTTCAGAGAACACTGATGTTTTTATCAGGGTATTGGCATTCAGTTACAAGGTTTGAGTTCTGAGGTTCATGAAATGTGGGAATTAAATTTGCATCAGACTGGTTGCCATAATCAAAGTTGCCACCAGTATCGAAATGAAATCATGCATGTCAGGCACTAGTTAGGTTGCGCTCTTTCACTGGATACTTTAAGTGTAATTGCTGGGAAAGGAAAAGCAAGTGCATTGAAACTGATTACTGGCAGCAACGATATACAAGATAGGTTCCAAGAGCTAGGAAAGGGATGGGATCTGTCAAAAATTTGATGACCAAGTTAGAAGCATTTACCTGCCACTTTTATGCTCCAAAGACATTATCCAGAAAGGTGAATGACCTAAGATCCGACCTATTTTGTGGTAAAATGATAGAGATACAAGGTTATACCTTGCTTAGACTGTTTGAAGAAGCACTGTCTGAGAGCAAACTACCAAACAACAATATGACAAAGGTGTCTTTGGTACTGAGTCATATATATTATGATTTTTATGTCGTATGTTACATGATAAGGGGCCACAAGGTGCCAAAATGTTCAATCTTTTGCGCTTTATATCTCAAAAGTGGGAAATATTTTGATAAGTTATATTGAACAAAAGATGTTCAAAATAATGTTCTGAACAATATGCAGCCTTTGATTTTTCACTAAACGTCCCCATAAAGGAGTTAAAGGGTATTTCTTTTGCAAATAACCCAAAAACGATTGATTGTATGTTGTTTCATGTCCGTCTCGAGAATTTTTCATTCATATGGAGACTCCGCCATTTGCCGGTGGAGAGCTGCAAATTTTGTCCTATACTCGGCATCCAGGGCCATTGAGCAGGGAGGGATCTTTTTCGTGTCAGCACTTACTGCGACACGGGGCCTTGGTCTCACCCGAAGGACGTGGAGACGTCCTGCAGTGGAACCCACGACGTAAGGATTGTCTCTTTAATTAGCGACTCTAAACTCAAAAATGAAAAGCAATCCTTGAACACTTGTTGAACAAAAAGTGTTTAAATGCATGAGAAATTTAAGATGATTTGAAAAAGAAAAGGGCTTGCCCCTCGTATAAGGGACCAAGAGGGGCCAAAATTCAAATTCCGGACTATTTTATGTTCAATATTTTACTTTAATTATTACAGCTGCAAAATCGTTTTTCTTAAACAAATCATCATTTTAATAGAAAATCTCAATCAAAATCTCATCTCATCAAGAATCGTACGAAAGACAAACTCGTTGCTCGAAACGATATCTCATCTAGTTATCTTTAGGGTCTTCCGTCTCCAATGGAAGAACCTTCCATTAGTGTATTGTTGTTTTTTTCACTTTTAATATAAGGATCGTCCGGTTCTTTTTCCCCTTTATTGTTTTTATTCTTTATTCTTCTTACAAAATTTGTGCAGGCGATTTCACTGAGATTGGAAGTTCGATTTTATTCAAATTTTCACGGTTGATGCATTGGTATCTGAAGTTAAATCCGCTGGTTTTTGTAGGGATATGTACCTTCATTCTAGAGTTATCACCCTTTTATCAAAATTCAAACGAATTCCTTGTCTGTTATTGAACTCAAAAACAGCTTATGCTGGAGCGCTGAATTTTTTAAGTGATGATAAAGGACGTGTTGCCATGTTGCACCTGGGTCAGGATATTTTCCAGAAGTGCCTAGTATGGAAATTTGTTAGGCGTCAGAATTTAGGTTACGAATCTTGAGTGTTTTTTGAGACCTTTTGCATCATATCTTTCAAAATATAATTATTTTGTTATAACATATTGAACAACATTTGTGTAAAATGACAAGATCTTGAAAAAAGTGCAAACGTATCACATTTAGGGATGAAAGGGGCCAAATGTCTTCAATCTATAACTCTTTAGCAGTTAGTATTTTGTTAAACATTACGGATGCAAAAATGTTTATCTCAACCATTTACAACTATATATTATGGTTTTTATGTCGTATGGTACATAAATGGGGGCCACAAGGAGCCAGAATGCAAAGTTTTTTATGCTTTATATCTCGAAAGTGAGAAATATTTCGATAAGTAATATTGAACAAAAGATGTTCAAAATAATTTTCTAAACAATATGCGACCTGTCATTTTTCACTAAACATCCCCATTAAGGACTTCAATGGTTGGCCCCTTAATATTTCTTTTGCTAATAACTCGAAAACGAAAACAAATCTCTGAATTGTTGTTGAACAAAACGTGTTCAAAATTCTTTGAGTTTTCAGGTAAAATCCAGAGAAAGGGACTGGGCACTCAAATTAGGGGCCAAAAAGAGCCAAAAGTCTCCAATCGATAACACTTTATCTGTTATTATTTTGTAATACATTACTGAA